TCCCCGGCCAACCTTCTGGAAGATAACCACATTTGTGCCCATTCTAATGAAAGGTGACCCAATAGATTTCAGGAATTATCCAACATTATCAGTAATATCACAAGATAATGCAATTTTGCCGAAGATCATTCAACAGCAGTTGTAGCAGTGTATCAATCAGGAGCTGCTAGAAATTCAAGTTGGATCAGAAGAGGACGTGGAATGAGTGATATAAGTGCTGACAAGAGATGGATCGTAGCTGAAAGCAAAGAATACAAGAAAAATATTTACTTGTGTTTTATTGATTATAACAAGCTAAGGACAGCATGGCAAAGAATGGAAATTCTAGAACACTTTACTGGTTGTAAGGAACCTGTACAACTGCTACATAGGCCAAGAGGCAGTAGTTGGAACTGAACAAGGGAAGACTGCAGGACTTACACCAGGAAAGGTGTGTGTCAGGGTTGTATCACCATACTTTTCCAAACTGTCTGATAAGCAAATAATATGAACAGCATATACACTGGAAAGGAGATGGACTGACACAGTGGCTGCAATAATGGGCTGAAGCATAATAGCAATTCATTTTGTTGTGCAGAGGATTGTTATGAGTCAGTACTGCCTTGACAGGACCTAACAACTACAACAACAGCCCTACAAAGTTGGTAGCATTACTATAATTCCATTTTACATAAGAAAAAAATTGAGGATTAGTGAGGTCACATGGACAAGAAATTCAAAAGTAGAAATGTTATCAAATCTTAATTTGTCTGATTTAAAGCTCTTATTTTAATTCCCATGTGTAATAAGTTTTGTGTCAATTTGGTGGTTTAGAATTATCACAGCCCCCAAATGTGATCTGCTATGAGCAGCCAATTTAAGAAGATTATGGTAGAATGCCACCCCTTATAACTCGATATAATTCAACAAGAAGTTCCTTGGGGGTATGGTTTAATAAGATGTTGTGGGGAAACTTGCTTGTTTATTTGCTGGGTCTTGAGCCTATATCTGACTTAACAACAAGTTGGTTCTTTGGACTTGAGCTAGTGATCTGCCATATCCCTTCCTGACCCTGGGAAGCCATCTGTGGCCTGCTGTCTGACTTACCAACCTTGGGCAAATTAGTTTCTCTAGTCATAAATAAGCCTGTCCTGCTGACCTTGAATTCATTTTGCCTTTTTAGTCACTACTTTATGGTCTTTCTACTGAATTTGGCTCTATCAGTCCCTGAAGCTACTTAAGTCAGGAGAAGCCTCCAGTCGAACACCTGATCCACAGACTAGGATGTTTCTTGAACTAGGACTGACCTGGTTCTACAACTGTGTGAACAATTTTATTAATATGTATTTCTGTCTACATATATATGAGTGTCTCTGGTTTTCTCTCTTTAGAGAACTCGGCCCTCAACAATTGGTACCAGGAGTGGTTCTAGAGAAACAAAATTATAAGAATGAGTTTTCTAAATCAGTTCTCAAGTTTGATTATTTTTCATGGCACTATTAACTCTGCTTCCAAGGATGAATGTTTGGGTTATAACATATTTCCAGAGATTGTACAAATTTCCATTTTCAAGAGTGCTTTTGTGTAATTGTATACTTTTTTGGGCCACAGTTTTCTGATGCTCCATTTGTGACTTTTATTCAGCATATCCATCCATCCATCCATCCATCCATCCATCCATCCATCCATCCATCCATCCATAGCTCGTTAGTGCCTACTCTATGGGTCATAAACAAGGAGCTATGGTGGCACAGTGGTTACTCATTGGGCTGCTAACCAAGAGGGTAGCAATTATTTGAGGGAGAACAGCGAGGCTTTCTACTCCTGTAGAGAGTTGCAGTCTCGGGAACCCATGGGGCAGTTCTAGCCTGTCCTCCAGTGTCAGAATGGATTCCATGACAGGGAGCTTTGGTTCTGTGGCTCATACGGTCTTAAGCATGATCAATAATGAAATGGAAGATAAAAAGCCCTGCTCTAAAAGAATCAGGGGTATGGAGACAGCAAGTAAACATAAGTATATTTTATTAACACTTAATAATTAAGCAAATCCTTGAAGATAATAGATGGTATGTAACAAGGAGAGGCAGGGCAGAATGAGAAGGATGGGGAGGGTTTCTGGGTCTGTTTGGGCTCTGTGCATGTCTGAGGACAGCAGCCAGCTGTATCATGGAAGAAGCCACAGGTGGGCAAAGACTTAAGAATTTATCAAACAACCAACTGGCAAAGACCTGTGCCAGGCAGAGGAAAGAGCTAGAGGTAACCTTGGGTGGGAGTGTGCCAAGGTGTTTGAGGAACAGCTGAGAGACTATGCTGCTGCTGAGGACTTGGGGTACCAGGGAGCTTTGTAAGCTTCTGGGCAGAGGGAGCTCCATGATCTCACATTGAATTTGCAGTGTGATCGCTGACACATATTTGCAGAATAGACAGACTCAAACCAACTGCTTCTCACAGGACTAAACCCTGAAGTACACAGGTTCATTCAGTAATTTAAGGCGAGCCAGGAGGTATTTATCACTTCTTAATTCTCCTATAACTTAAAGTTCCAGTCATTTCCCACACACATCTGAAGTAGATCCCTGAAAGGACAGTTGTTTAGAAAGGACATTCCATAAGTCAAGGCATTTATCCACTGCCTAATTCCCCCACAGCTAAAATTGCCTGTCTCACTTCTTATTTGGCCCCATGAACATCTGAACAGGAGATTGTTTTCAATGCTAACTCTTAAAAATAGAAAACATTATTGCTAAGCACGTGGGGAAAAGAACATTCTGTGATATGCTCAACAATGCTCTCATGAGGGGTGGAGCTTTGTACTCCTATAAAGAGTAGCAGTCTCGGGGGCCCATGTTCCTTTCCCCCTGGCCCTTGGTGCTAGAGGGCAGCAGTAAGGTTCCATGGCATTACCTGTGGTTTTAGAGGGGGGTGGGGTGGGGAGTCCTCAAAGCCCATACAATTAACTAGAAGACAGCAGGACACTTTGGATCAAAAGACTTTTGTTAAATGATCTGGCTTTTCTAAGCCAAGTGTTGTTGTAAAGGATGAGCTTACAAATGTGAGAGTTTTGTAAACTCTCAAGCACCGCAGAGACATGAGATGTAGCAGTGGTTTTAACTGTTGTCTTATTTTTGTAAAATACCAGATGCCATATGATTCCCTTTCTCGACTCCAGCTTTCCTTCCATATGATGTGGCTCTGCTTTTCTGGAAAGTTTTCCAGCTTGCCTCCGCATCCCTCAACAATCCTGTTGTGAGTTTGGGCTCTCCTCTAGCCACAGGCTCACAAAGGAAGGAGCCCTGAAGCACTCAGCCGGAGTCAGGCGAAGACGCAGCCTTGGGATTCGTGTGACTTTCTGATTCGGCATCCTATCTTGGAGCCACAGGGTTCTCAATTCAGACACAGGTGAATGCTCACCGGAGCGTTCCCAGCATGAAGTGCAAACGGCTTGTTGTAAAAACAGACTGTGGACTAGACAGAGCGGCCAGTCTGCAGTGCCAGTCTCCCACCATTGAATCCCGCTTCCCTCATTATTACGTGCAGAATTAGATGAGACTCGACTAAGTGTGGGAGGCTGAGAGGCAAATTAGGAGCCACTCAGAGACAGCCAACACATTGGAGGAAGGAAATGACAAGGGCAGATGATGAAAGGAGCTAGTTAGAAAACACAAAACAAGAAGAAAGTGAGATGGGTAGAGAGCAAAGGAAGGTAGAGATTGTCTCTAGCCGGTGAGCATTGGCTCCCCTTCCCCGGACAGAACAAGAGCCCACAGCACACACTGGCCCATGCAGGACTCCTAAAAATACCACCTTCTAAAAAGGTAACCTTTTTGAACACCGAGAACGTTCATAGTCTCCTTTTCCAAGACGATCTTTCCAGACTCACACCATTGCAAATGCTGTCACTTTTTATTTATCCCCATATCTTAAAATACTCTCCCCAAATCTTAGCTGACAAAGAGAATCACAGCTCTGCCGTTGAGTTCCCAGCCTTCTGTGATAATTAGCCAAGTTGATCTGGACCGCAAAGCTCCTAAGCAGCCTCTCCTTGCAGAAACATGGGCCCTCAGCCTTCTCAAAGCTGCTAGATACTCGCTTTGAAAGCGTTGTCTGGCTCCTGTGCAATTCAGATTCACTCTGACTCCTTACTCTCCCCTCCTTTCCCCTCCCCCTCATGTGGGTAAGCTTTTCAACATTGTCTTTTATCTATAGGGGAAGGGGCGCTTTAACTAACAGTTGATTCCTTCGTTCACAAAGCGGCCAGGGACTAGAGCCAGCCAGTTGAGCTCAACTTGGGTGGGTGCTTACTGAGTTGGTTGAGAGTAAAAATGTTATTTGAATCATCACTAGACTCTCCGTTCCCTCCCACCCCCACACTCATTTATTTGGGGTCTCAGATTTCTTTCTTTCATCCCCAATATTATTTATTACCTGAAGCCAAGAAATAATAGACATTATGTCCCTGGCCTCCAGAGACCTCAAAAGGCATTTGTTTTGATGGGGAGGTCAAAATAAAATTTCAGAGTTCAAGAAAATGAAAGAACTTTTCCCCCCTCCTGGATGAGAAGGGAAAAAGCTATCACACCCCTCTGGTCCTGCTTTTCGTGAAGCTGTAACGCGGGCTTCGTGCGAAGAACTTTCACCAGATATCCACGCTCAATGACTTCCACTCGTTAAAAGGGCACAGTTTTTTCACCAGATTAAACAATCAACAATACTCGAAACCCAAAAGGGCTTATTTATGCTGTCTTCAAACCCCCTCCGAGATTCCTCAAGAATTCTGAGACACCAGACATTCCTTGGGAGGCAGGATTCCCCCGATGACAAAGCCACAGGGCACGTTTCACGGCAGTTCCCTCTCCAAAGCCCTCTCAAGCCGAAATGAATTCAGGGTCGAACAACAGAAGCGTCTCGGCAGGTAACTCTACTCCCCTAGCTCAGGCTGTCTGCCTTACTGGGGAGACGAGCAAATCTAGAGTGTGTGCCCCTCACCATGGGGAGATGGGACGTGGGGAGGAGCAGTTTACCTAGAAGGGTCACGATGCAGAGAAGAATGGCAACCAGCGCCCCAGTGCTCAGCCCCGTGGGGTGGATGAGGGCCTCCGCGTGGCAGGACTGCATGTTCCCATGGGGGTCACATGCACAGACCCGGACAGTCACCGTGCCAGTGCTGCTTTGGACTGGGTAGTCGTTGTCCGAAATGACCACTGGCAGGAGGTAGATGTTCATCTCTTGTCTGTTGTAGCCATTTTTCCGCGTTAGGATTCCCGCGGTGTTATCTGGAACCAGAGAGCAAAGTGGTGAATGGAGGTGGGGGCCTGGGGTGTGTCTTGAGCCAACTGGGATAGGGAGGTAACAGAGGATGCTCCTGGTGCTCCTGTACCTTTGTTGTCTTGGATGGTGAAGTTGGAGCCGCTGGCTGCTTCCGGCGCCAAAGAGAAGGAGAACTGGTGCCCACTGTAAGGGTCGTCCTTGTCCACGGCGCGGAGGGTCTGAATCAGCTGAAAGGCAACCGTAAAGCAACTGTATAATTTTTGCTAACTCCAAAGCATCTCTTCAGTTCGGCAGTAAATTGCTTGATTAATGATTTTTCATTTTGATTGGAAAAAAAAATCATACCTGACTCAAAAATAAAGGAAGCCCCCGGTGGGGCTGTGAGGCTGGCACTGGGCTGCTAACGGCAAGATCAGCGATTCAAACCCACCCCCCACTCCTAGGGAGAAAAGTGAGGTTGGCTGAGACCCTAGAGAGGGTCAAGATGAATTTGGACTGACTTGATGGTAATGGGTTTTGATGGGCTTAAAAAAACAACAACAACCTTAACAACAACAAATACAATGGAACTCATGATTTAAAAAATGACCTTTCCAACGAACACGCTTTCTTCCAGGAAGCCATGGGTTAGGAAGTTCCAGAGCAGGGGATAGTCCTGTCTGGCCCATTGAAGGATGCGGAGCAGCCAATCTGCCCTCTCCCCCACGAGATACCAGTTGTGACCATCAAGGATGTCTGTAGACATTGCCCAATGTTCTCCAGGGAGTGGGCAACACCCCCCACCCCCGCAACCCCAACCAATTGTGAAACCCTTTTGTGGGGTGGCAGATGCTTGACCTGATGATTGACAGCTCTGAATTTTACCCGAACTTTGAGATCTTGGAAAGAGCAACCTTCAAAAAAATCTCGCCATCCTTTGAGTTAGGAAAATCCTGTGGTCAAGAGCCACCCTTCCCCCAACGGCTTAAGTGATATGCCCCCTTGTTCCCCTGTGACAAAGCCAAATATAGCCCATTGAAAATGCCCATTCTCGGTCTCATAAATGATTAACCAAAATGCTCGACTCCATGGATCGGTCAGAAACAAAGTGCTTGTTAAGTAAACGCGGGTAAATGTTTCTCCTTCCCCAGGTCTTTGCATTTGGCCCACCCTCGGCTTGAGTCACCCCACTCCCCTGTCATAAGGGGTGGCCTCAAGGGAAACACGCTCTCAGTCACTACACGGCCTCACGCCCCTTTCACTCGTCTCCACACCAGCCTCCGTCTGGTCTGCGTCCACGTACCGCCATGAGAGCCAAACACTCTGCCTAAATCTTGAGATGTTTGCTGCCTTCATGACCAGAGTGTGCTGCCTATTACAATAGACTCCTCCCCCTCAAGGCCCTTTCCCCCGTCTTTGGGAACCAAGGCTTTTCCTACCTAAGCTTGGATTTGTTTATCATGAGCCACAACATCGCAGCTTAACCAGCTGGAGGCACGATGTGGACGGCCCGTTGAGTCGTGCAGTCTTCACATGTACACATGGGCATCCACATTCAGAAAAATCAGACAGAGAATGGCCGTGTCCATCACAGTAACGTTGGCTTCCTATCGTACACGTGCCTTAACAGTACACTACACTTAGACGAGCGGTGACGTCATTTCCCCATCACTGGAACCTCTTTCAGGTGGGAAGCTCGCACCCATACCAACCCAACAGGACAGAATAGAGCTGCTCTACAGGGTTTCCGAAGCTGTAAACCTTCCCTTGAGCACATGGCCACGGCTTTCAGCCGCTGAGCTGCTAGTGGATTTCAACCACCAACCTGTCAGTTGTCAGATGAGTGTTTTTACCATAGCACTACAAAATGTGTAAAACACTTAACTCATGGTGTTCCTCATATGAATTTAAAAATTCACTATTGAGTTGATTGTGGCTCATAAGGACCTTATAAGACAGAGTAGAACTGCCCAGTAGATTTCTGAGACTGTAAACCTTTACAGGAGTAGAAATCCTCAGCTTTCTCTTATGGAGTTGCTGGTGGTTTTGAACTGCTGGCCTTATGGTTGATAGCCCTAGGCTATCCACCACTATGCCATAAGTGAAAATAGGAGTTACAGCTCCTTATAAACTATGTTCTTTTCTTGGTGCCTGATGTTACATGTCTGATTGTTTTTCATGCATTGCTTTCATGTATGGTAATGGATCGTATCTGCTCATCAATCCAAACTTTTCCAAAAAAGCTACGACAACCTGTTTTAATCTGCTTTAATGAGAACTTAAGATTGACTTAGAATCAGCATCAGCCCTCCAGACTGTGAACTTGGCAGTTCTTACAAGACTGTTTTTTCTCTTACGGAAGTTAAACATTCATCCTGGTTTTTGCTTACAGTCTTACTTCCCTGAGCAGTCACTTCATAGATAATTCAAAACTCGTTCTCAGTGCTGTGTATCAACCCAATTATTAGAAGAGCTTAATTAATCTCACTGTACCCTAAATCCCAAAACGTACTTTTGTATGAAACGCACCTGATCTGCTTTTGCTTTTTCACAGACGAAGGTTTCATAGAACTCAGCAAATTCGGGAGCGTTGTCATTGACGTCTAGAACTTTAATGTACAGAGGCACTCGGCTGCTTTGCTTTGGGTTGTCTGTAAGATGCCAAGAAAGAGAGAAACGTGTTCATATATCGACCACCAGTTCCTGGGAGACAGCATACACACACGCCCTTTCTTCTGATTCACACCGAGATCCCACGAGGCTGCCGCTGGGAGAGCCACACAGGTTAAGGTGGCTACAAGAAAGTAGAATTGGATTGTAGGTACTTCTGGACTAAGAGGGGACCCCTGGTGGCATAGCAGTTATGCACTGGGCTACAAGCCACGTGGTTGGCAGCTCGGGGGGACACTAAGATTCAGCATGGACTCAAGGGCATTTAGTGAGAGTGAATCTGGACTTGAGATACACCCAATAGCAATACAAGGACACAAAGCCACTGGTGTTGATACGATAACTCAATTCTGACTGCCACTGAGTCAGTGCCCACTCATAGCGACCCTGCAGGACAGGGTAGAATTGCCCCCCCGGGTTTCCAAGACTGTGACTGCTCCCGGGAGTAGAAAGCCCGTCTTCCTCTCCTTGGAGCAGCTGGTGTTTTCGAATGGTCGCGCTTGGGGATCGCAGCCCAACAAGTAACCACTGAGCCACCAGGGCCAGTGTTGACATGGCACAATTGCATAATGCGGTCACCGCTGGTTGCTGTGAAGTCAGTATCATCTCACGGAGAACAGCACAGCTGTGAACTGTGGTCCTCTGCCACCCTTGTGCATACAGGTTTTGTTGTGCCCATTGTGTCCTGCTTCCTCGTCCCAGGGGCGCATCTTCCAGCACTGTACTGGACACTATTCTGCTGTGACCTACAAAGTTTTCACCGGGCATCAGTGGGACGTAGCACGCTAGGCCTTTCTTTTGACTTTGCCTTAGTTTTGAAGCTCTGCTGAAACCTGTCCACTGTAGTCGACCCCTCATATATTTGAAAGATCAGTGGCATAGCTTCCAGCATCACAGTAATGGGCAAGCTACCACAGTGAGACAAAGGGTGGGTAACAATATAACCAATCCTGGGATAACGCAAATGCAAAGTTCTGCAGGAGGGGCATGCTAGGGGCAGATTTCAAAAGAAGTCCCACATTGGGCCTCCTCATGCGCACTCCCCTAATACAAGAGCACCTTGCTCAGCTAAAC